CGTGATGATGTATTTTATCACTGATCCAAGATGTCAAATATTAGAGTCTATTTTACTTATATTTTAAGCAATTATACTTTTTTGCAATTCAATAATGACGTATCATTTTCAAACTGCTTTAAATATCCATTATAAACAAATTTTTGAAGCTATTAGATTGAACTGTGCATTTCTAGTATGTAATACCTATTTAGTTAGCTTGTGCCTTTAGTTTCTTAAAGTTATATTTGTATTATATGCAGGAAATGCACTTTGTATTACCTACAGCTGTGTTTTTTAATACTGCCTTGATTACTGTTGTTCTCAGATAATGCCAAAAGGTCGAAGAGTGGGAAGTGTTACAAGTTTGTCTCTAAGAGTAAGTTTGGCATTTTCCCTGTTCCTGGGTGGACAGTCTATGGTATCTTTCTGAATAGTATTTCTTACAAGAATCTGGATGAATGAAGAATCTGGTGATATTACTCGGCCCTGTTAGAACAGGAAAAAATGCCTTTATCAAAACAGTTTCAGAAATTCAGGAAACTAAAAAGAAGTGTCGTGTCGAGTCAGCAGTGCTAAAGAGCATTCATTAATGAATGAGCACTGGGGGCTGAAGTCGTAGCACTACATGGGCCAGCAGTGATTTGTGAGAACTGCAGCTACAGCAAACAGCTGTGGGCCACTGTGTCCATGAACAACCTCAGATGGAGGCAGGGAACAGTTCAGTCTCCATTTCCTTCTTCTAGTAGCTAGAATAATTTCTGAGCATTGGGTTTTGTTTTGTAGTTTTCCTTTTTTCCTTGCTTTTTTAATTTTGCACTATCACCTAGAGACCCAAATGAGTAAAAGTAAACAAAGGAAAAATAAGTGCATGGAAATGTGTATCGTTCTTTAAATCAGATAATTTGATGCTAGCGTTCTGCACTGCAAACAAGGTTCTGCAAAAGGAAAAAATGAATAAAATTATAAAATAACAGAATAAAACAAAAAATAAGACCCACTATTGCACACTATCCTGTAGCCAAGTACCTACCATGAGAGACACGTGCTGTGTATTTTTTTATGACAGCCAAATCAATAGTGTGTACAAGTAACGTTTCCTTTGCGTTCCTATTTATTTAGCCAGCCTACAACATTTCAAAGGTATAAATATATATATAGCTCTATATGTAGAACATAGCCAAATACCTATATATGAACTGGTCGATGTGCGACTCGGTGCTCATGTGCCGGCTGTTCAGGCCGAGCTCCGCAGTGCCCTCCCAGCTGCACCCTCCAGGCACAGCCTCTCCCTGCCGCAGCGGGCGCTGCTCTGGGCGCTCCCTGCCGGCGTCCTCAGGGCTGTCCGTCCGTCTGTCGGGGCGCTGCTCGGTGCTGTGGGAAGGCACAGAGCTCGGGGTGAAAGAGGCGGCAGAGGGGCTGCGCTTGGAGCTGAACGAAGGCAGGGTGCTGCCGAGGTGCTGGTTGCTGCGGGGAGCGCAGCTGACACCGCCGGCCGCGAGGGTTCCCCGACAAACACTGACTGTTATCAAGCTGTCCTTGACACAAACCATCACCAGGTCACAAGCGTCCCGGCTGTGAGGAGAACCACGGCTCAGCAGGAGCGGGGCGCTGGCATCGGGCACGCGCCCAGACGTTGGCCACCAGCCATTCCTTGTCTAAGGAAACGCGTTCGGCAGCTCCCAGTTTTTCCTTAGATCTCGTGGTGGACTTTAGCCTTTTAATAAATGTTAGTATATCAGATTGTGTCCTTGACAGTATTTTACTTGTATGAACCATGATAACACATTAAGTCTTCATACTCTTCGGGCAGAAGTGTCGATAAAAGAGAAGAGAAGCATAGCATACGATATATGTCAAAGTAACGTTCCTTTTTCGCTTTCTCATGAACAGTAAAATGTTTACAATGTATGCCAAGATCTTGGTTTTTGTCCGACACCAGTTAGAGGTTCTGATCTTACAGAAATTGTGTTATAACGGCCTCAGCCTTGTTGCTAGGAAACAATAGATCCCAATTTTTTATTCCTGCTCTAACTCCTGTGCTGAATAGTGACTGGATACTGTACACGTTATGTTACATGGCTGCAGTTACATGGTCTGATGCATTTTGCTCTGGGTTTCAGACCAGAAGCATGCATTTTCTACAAGAACATCCCAGCAACACGCTGTAAATATTAAAAGTTAATATATTATGTGTCGATATTTGAAAAAGAAAGTACTTTGACTATTTCATTTTTAAAAAATAAAGGTGCAAACTGACAGCATGTGACGTTGTCTTATTTTAAACCACACCTTAGGGATTTTACTGGTTGTGTCACGAAGAAGTGCTTCCGTACATCAAAATGAGGTCCTCAAACAGTACTTCTCAGTGTGAATGTGGGTTTGCTGGCAGTGTTGAATTATACTTCTGATTCAGGGCTCATGTGTACAACTCCTGTGGCACTACATGCTGGTCCACAGCTTGTTTCTGTGCACGGATTCTTATCAGAGCAAGTGTGAGAGTGAAAAGGCGTGTTGTTCTGTGCCTTTGCACTCCCAGAACTGAGTGGGTAAAGATAGTGGTGCTAAGGGACGAGTAGCATGGATGAAGCATCTGCTCGTTCAGTAGATCTGATTTCCCAGCCTGCTTCAAACAGGTGCTGATAAACTACTGCCTGAGTCTGTGCAAGAAAAAAATTTAAAAAAACAGCACATGCAGCAGAGAGGAGCAGAGAGTGAAGTGGGGGAGCAGAAGGAGCATTTAAAGCTGAAGGAAGGGCAGCATGGTAGAAAGCTGATGGGAGCAGCTTGGGCTGGGTGCTGACCCTGCACAAGGATTGTGTTGGGTAGATGAGGAGGCAGCAAGGCCAAAGGGATGCTGTAGTAAGAAAGGAATTTTTAAATGGCCTGGGATATTGATCTGTTGCTGCAGAAGGCCTGTCACAGCCCAGCCAGGGAGCAGGGGAGGGTCTGGCTGAGGTAAAAGCAGCATTGTTTGGGACCAGCAGCAGCATCTCCTGAGCTGGGGAGGAGACTGCATGGGGGGGGCAGGACACAGAGTCCTTTGGTGCATCCACCAAAGCAGCAGCCAGAGCCAGAGCCTGCAAATGGGAAGTGGGAGGAGAAGGAGCTCCAGGGCAGGTGGGGATGGAGCAGTCAGTGCTGCTGAGCCCAGAGGGGCTGGTAGAAAGGAACAAGGAACAAGGGGACACAGATGTTTCTTGATGAAGCCCTGCCCACGCTGCTCTCTAAAAGGATCTGTAGCTCTACCTATCAGAGTAAATGCATGAAATCTGTGTACTTGCCATGTTACTGTGCCTATAACCAAATACCAGCTCCTTTTGTGATGGATACACAGTCAGAGCTTCTCTGACTGTCTGCAGCTTGTTTAATCATAGCATCATAAAAGCACAGAATAACAGACTGGCTTGGGTTGGAACAGACCTTAAAGATAATCCAGTTCTATCCCATGCTGTGGGCAGGGACACATCCCTTCAAATCAGGCTGCCCAGGGCCCCATCCAGTCTGGCCTTGGGCACCTCCAGGAATGGGGCATCCACAGCTCTCTGGGCAGCCATGTCAGGGACTCATCACTCTTGGCTGGAAAATTTCCTCCTTATTTCTGATCTAAATCTCCCATCTTTTAGTTTAAAACCATTCCCCTTTGTATAATCACCATCACATAAAAAGTCATCCTCCCTCCTGTTTATAAGCTCTCTTTAAGCACTGGAAGTCTGCAAGGAAGTCTCCCTTGAGCCTTCTCCAGACTGAGCAACCCCAGCTTCTTCTACCTGTCTTCAAACAAGAGGTGCTCTAGAGTATAGCAATTCCAGATTCCAGAGGGAACCCAAAAGAAACAACACAACCAAGACTCTATCTTAATCACTCACATACAGTGTTCTCAGCTTTAGCTCTAAAATGCGAACTTCTGGCCTATTTTATCTATTTTTAAAAATAACATTGCTCTTCTGGAGTCACCCATAGTCAAAGCAGCTATCCTCATCTCACTGCACCACAGGATTTGCACCACTCGGCACTCGAAGTCAACAGGACATTTCTATAGGGAACAGCCCTCAGGCACATTGCTTACCAGCATGCTTATCACCATGGTTCTGTCATTTACTGGAACCACTTCTCAGCACACCCTGTTCCTCTGTCCTGAGAAAGCCAGACTAAACCAGGATTCAGGCACAGCACTCCAGAAGCAAAGGAGCTCCCCCAGTAAGCACTCTGCGACTGCTTGCACCTGGAAAGGAAGGTCTGCAGGAGCAAAAACCTGGAACAGCCACAGAGCATCCGTCACAGACATGCAGCAAACTGGGAAACCTTTAAGGCACAGGCAAGGGGTGAAGGGGTTCAATCAGCACAGCCCCAGAATCAGCTGGTGCTGAATGTTGTGCTTTGAGCTGGCAGCGTTCAGCACTGCGCCTCTCCTGCTGACGTTTGCTGAATTATCTAACAGTATTTTAAATTAAATAAAAAAAAAAAAGCTTTTAAATATTTTATTAAAGAGTAAATCATGCTGAATCTTTCACTGTATGGCACTGTATGAATACAAGACCCTTGCTTCAACCAATCATAAGTAGCAGGGAGACATGGAGCAAAACATACAGAGAGTAAAATATGATGCAAAGTGGAGGGGAGGGGAAGCAGGACATTTCACTACATGTGAAATGTGGCCTTAATTTAGACAGACATTGAGTAATGAACAGCAATCGTCACAAATTTGCAACAGCATTGTCCACCGCTTCCTGCTATCACACAGCTGTTTATTTATTGCATTTACTCCCATTGAGGGTTTACAAGGAGCATTTTGTGCTTCATGATGAATGTTTTATTGCTGCACTTTCTCTCTCTCTCTCATTTTCGTTCATACACACATGGCCACTTATAGGAATAAAATAAAAGATAAAACTTGCAGCCTTATCAAATCCAAACTAAAATGCTGCTTCAAGTGGCTGAACCTTGCTGAGTGCCCTTTCTTGCTGCCCTTTTAACTCTTCACTGTTTCCTTTTCAGTGAAGCGACAAGAAGCCAGAATCTGGGACAAAACAGCTAAATGGATTACAAAAGTCTGTCTGCCTGCTTGGTAGAATGGTTGGGTGATGCCCCCCAGTGTAGCCTGGTGCTACAAACATGGCTGCAGCCCTGCCTTTCCCCATACCCCTAGTTCACAGCTTGCCCCCATCTGGTGGGATTTGATCTGTCCTGATCTCCCAAGCCTGCAGCCTGGTGGTTTTGGAAAAGCTCTCTACATCTTCTCAGAAATTTCCAGCTTTCCAAGCTGTGCCTAAGAAGTTGGAAGTATAGGCATGAAACATTCAAGTATTAGACATTTAAGCAATACAACCTCCTCCATAGAAGGAGAGTCCTCCACCTCTCTGGGCTACCAGTTCCAGTGTTCTGTCACCCTTGCCATAAAGAAGTTCTTCCGCATGTTTCTTCCCATGTTCAAGTTCTAGGCCATTATTCCTTGTCCTGTTGCTATACATCATCAAGAAGAGCCTGTCTTCATCCATTTGCCTCCCACCTCCCTTCACATATTTGCAAACATTAATAAGACCCCCCTCAGTTGTCTTTTCCCCAGGCTGAACGGCCCCAGATCTCTCAGCTTTTCCTCATACGAGAGATGCTTCCGGCCCTTCACTACCTTTCAGGCCCTCTGCTGGACTCCTTCTAGGAGATGCTGTCTTTTTAGAACCGAGGAGAACTGGACACGGCATTCCAGATGTGGCCTCACCAGGGCAGAGTAGGATCACCTCCCTTGCCCTTCTGGCCATGCTCACCCAATTGCAATCAACATTAGCTGTGTCCTTTGAAGGGAGTGCTTTTGTGATAGGCCCATATCTGCTGGGGAAAAGTAACACAACACAAACCAAGAGGGCTCCAGCACATCGAGTCTGTAGGGAAGTGTTCCCCACTGCCGGCCAACCCGGGCAGCTCACCAAGTTAAGCAGTCAAGTGCTCCAGCACTGGAGACAGTGCTAACCCTGCAAGGCAACAAGTCCTCCAGATGTAAGCCTCTCCTACAGGAGCCCAGAAGCAACTTACTAAAACATATGACAATGAAATAAAAGTAAATATTGTGTAAATACATATACATATATATATATTTTTTTTATTTACACGTGGTGGTGATTTTTTCAAGTAGAGAAAATATTGGAAAAATAAAAAGTATGAGGTTCTCCACTAGTGATTGTTCTCATTTATTCAGAACGTTACTTGAGCTTTCAATTCTTTGTGCAAATTATAAATTTTGTACGTGGAGACAGCACTGAGTGGTTCTGTTGGATTGCAGAGAGCCTGATATGATGGGAAATCAGCTAGTGGGAATTCTCCTGAGGCCATGTCTGGAATACCTTTTGGAACTGTACGACAGTCACACAGACACCAAGTCTGTGTTCAAGGAAAGGACACTCGATATAAGCAATTTTCCTAAGCCTACAAAAGGGGTCTTGCCCATAAATGCCTATCAGAAGAAAGCATAGAAGAGCTGAAAGTCAGTTTATGTAAAATAGAGTGACTAGTCTTGAGATTAGAAAATATTTTGCACTTAGGACTGCAAAAAAGAAAAAAAAAGATTTGACACCATTTAGTTGTTGATGCTTTTCTCTTACCTCTTACAAAAAAAAATAAAATTAAAATTTAAAAAAAAAACATTCTGAAACCTAAAACTTTGAGCTAGAAATACTATGAAACACATTTCAGCAAATGTTACAAGAAAACTCACAGAGTTGTACTAACTATCATAGCTTGTGCTGTTCTAGAGCAGGACCGAAGGCACTACTGGGAGCTAGGGTTATTCCACGGGGAAACGTCTTCATGATGGCTGCAGGTAGTCACGACCGTCATTTCTACCTAGAGAAAAATAATCACAGAATTACAGAAGGGTGAAAAAGAACAGATCAGATGACCCACTCCTACCAGAGCCACAGCAGAGGGGAAGGCAACCATCTACCTCTGATGTATTACTCAGGAATATACGTATTTAAATGGATTTTCTCATCAGGTTGAAGTCCCTAATGGGTCATATTTTTGGCTCATTTAGGCTCAAGATCACCACCCCCATGGAGGGCCCTGCCCCTCACAGCTGAGGCTGCCTGCACCCCATGGGTACCTGGAGAACACCTGGCTTTCGCATGGTTGATGACCGGATGCTTCAGGGGTGTAACAATGCCCTGGTCGGGTTTCTGAAAGGCTGAAATGAGGTTGTGCATTTTCCGGAAGAGCCGCCGGTGAACCCCGGGTGCCGTCTGTGAACCCAAAGGTGAGAGGTGAGGGGAGGCGAGGCAGTCAGTGCCCTGGTGATGAGCTCTTGTCCTCAGAAAAGCAGCCATGCGTTGGGATGGAGCCAGCCCTTCAACCTCAGCCCCTCCAGGTGCCAGCCGACAACAAGCTATGAGCCATTCCTGCTCTCCTCCCATCCAAGTATGATTCCAACACCGCCTCAGCAAATGAAACTCAGAGCCCGTGGTTCTTGCTGAGCACATTCTCAAGTGGTCTTTTGCTATTTATGATCCCAAGTCAAGGCAGTCTGCAGTCCCCCTGGGAAACGCCAGTAAGATGACTGTGAGAGCTGCCTGGCACTGACCTTTCACCTCACACCATTAATCTCAGGCACAGACACTGCCCAATTGCAAGCCTTTAAGCCTTCACTGCTTTTCAATGTGTTCACTGAGCATTCCCACCCATCTTCTGGTGCAAAGGAAGCAGTCAGACATTACCTAGTTGATAAAAAATGGGATTTTTTCAATCTTTTTATGTTAGCATCTTTGCAAATGCTGCACTAAATCCCGCCTCCACTGCTATATGCCAGAGGTTTCCATTAAGAGGGATTTGACTGGCACTGTTTTCATTTCCCTGCATTGTTCCTGAAGGATGGATGTGATCTGGGGTTGCTCACACACCACATCCCAGAGCAGAAAGCAGAGACGGGAAATCTCCAGCATCAGCTCTGAAGGCACATCCCATGGGGACAAGAAAGAGGGCAAAACAGAGACTCCTGTTCTTAGCAGTAGAGTCCAGCATGGTCTTGACTCTGCTTGCACTAAGGTTTACTGTTGCATAAAGAAATAGTTAGAGTCATAACTAGCACTTCCTCTACAGAGGTTTCACTGAGATTCTTGAGCCCTCAGAACGCCTGCTCTGTGAAACACAGATGAAGTTTGCCTAAACGCAACCAGGAAAAACCCGTGCACAGGAATCCAATGGATACCATGGAGGAGCAGGAGGCCCATTCAGCTCTGAGCACTGCAGATACTGCTGTTATCAGGGCCAAAGCATGCTGCGGCCTCCCTTGAAGCTCCCTTGACAGGTAGATGCCCCACGGGTTCCAGCACTGCTCCAGACCCACTCGCCAGGCAGCACAAATCCTCAGGGTGTCCCTTGTGCAGTAAGTTGTGAGTTCTTCCTCAGCACCGCTCTCAGGGCTGAGGCAGATAATTACTGAGCTGCAGCAATGTGCATGTTTTATCTCTTGACCTGATTCCAAGCAGCACCACGACTCCTGTTTTCCAGAGCATTGCAACCACTTCTGCTAGCACAGTAACCAAGAAATTACGCCTGCCTAGCAATTATTTAGTGTCTGTAAATCAGGCTTAATGTGCAAACAGAAATACAATTACAAAGCAATATGGAGATTACATCCAAAGAACAAGATCTTCATAAAAGAAACTGAGGTTATCATTTAGATTCCATCAATCTAAATTGTCATCTGTATTGCAAATAGTGTTACGCTATGCCTGAATTACTGGTTTCTTATCAACCAAGTGAAAATACACTTTGTAACAAGTTTCTGAAGAGAAACTGAGTTTAAAACACTGTGCATTGAAAAGTATTTCCTTAAATATTCTAGTGTTAATGGCATGTGAGATAGAAAGGAATTGAATACTGATTGTGCTTGTCAAATTATAAAAACATAATATTTTTTTGCCATTGAAAATGATGCAAAGTAATGCACTAATGCATTATGCAACAGCTGAAATGTAACAGGGAATTAATTTATGAGTTCAAGATTGTCAGAAGTGGCACCAAGACATCTTTGTGATGGGTTCGCTCAACATCGATTACCTTCAATGAAAATCAGACTTTGCAGAAGCATGAATAATTTGAATACATTTCATTAAATCGATACCAACACCAAACAGGATACCGAAGTTTTCAGAAAAGAGAAGCACACACCTCAGCACTCCAGGACCCAGATTCTGTCTTGGATACCCTGTAGGTATAAACGTAACCCTGGTGCCTGTGAAGGGAAAAAAAGCCAACAGCTATTTATTCCTCATTTCTACTGCCAGGTTTCACTCTGTTACAGGGGAGTCGGCTCATCTGCTAACCCCTCCTTAACAATAATCCACCCATAAACATTCAAGGTCAATAAAAAACTGGAACTCAGACCAGAGGCAGTCTTTAACGTACGGGGTTTTTTTGGATGAGGGACTGGTCTGACTTAGATCTGGTCTGGCAATGTTCTGTTATTCCAGGTTAAGTGACAATGCTTTGATTCCTGCTTCAGCACTTTTATTTTTAATTTTTCTTGACCTTCTTTTACTGACAAACACCAAGAATATTTTCCCTGGTGGGAAAAAAAAGTATAAATGAAAAGTGAAATATTGGCATATAAACCTCCTGCTTTATGATTTATTTAAATGCAGATGTTCCCAGAAGAAATTAATGTGATTGCAACTTGTTTGGAAAGCTAGAACCACAAAATCCAGATAAATTACCTATTGCTTCGTGAGTACAGTCTTAATTCTCAAACACCGAATGTGAAAGAGCATGAAATCTTTCTTCTTTTTGAATCTAATTTGAGTCCCTCGAGAAGAAGGAGCCATCCACTAACAGCACAGGGTGTTCTGATGTGCAGAGTCTGTCCTGCTTCTCTTGAGAGCCCAATGCAGCGAATGATTTACATGGTAAATATCCAGAAATCTAACTCAGAAGCAGAGAGAACTCACAGTAGTTCCACGGGTTCAACATTAATTTAGGCAGTGTCAGATAAGAAGACCATATATTACACTACAGAGATATACATGAATACCCAGCAGGATTTTAGAGGCCATTCACTCTATCAGCATCAGTTCTTCAGAAAGCAAAAATACACTACATTTCTTTCCAATTATACACAGTATTATAGTAGTTATTACAGAATAGCAGAAAGCGTCAATGACACAGGCACCGTATGATTGCAATTACTTACGCTCCATGTCATGGCTCCTGGATGAATCCTTGTTAGCAAGTCATTAGAGCAACCTCTGCAAAGCAGGCTCAGATAGAATTTACCTGCACAGGAAGCTGTTAGCAGTTGTCACACTGCTGTAACCCTTTGAAGTTGGGGCAAAAATCCCTGACACGATTTGTGAGCTCTCCTCACCACTCCTCACCTCCCAGAGACACAAAACTGTTGCCTCCTGCCAGGAATGAGGGCACCAAGCTCCCAGCACCACAGTGGGACACCAGGAGCAGAACACAGCCCCGCCATCCCACCACAACCTCCACTGCTGCAGCCATCAGGGGGCCCGAGGTGTGCAAAGCCTGCTGTGCCTGCAGCAGGAAGGAAGGCCATGGAAGGAGAGCATGGCTGCTCTGTCTGTCCCATGGAACCCCAGCCACTGCTGCTTGAGCCTGGCTCAAGCCTGGTTCTTCAGAAGCACGTCTTTATGAGCCACTGTATATGTTCACATTGAGGGAATTCAGTGCCATCAGTGCCCTTAGACTATCTTGCACTATTATGTCCTTTATTAAAACCTCCACAAGCTGTGCCTATGTCTTCACTATGTCATGATGCTCACTCCAGTCTTACTCCTGGAAATAACAAGGGGCTTCCCTGCATCTGTGCACATAGATTGCCAGTCAGTGTATGGTTACTGAAGTCAGGACTTTACAGCCCACAGTGACACCAGGGGCATCTTGATGTTTTGTCCTCTCTCTTTGAAGGCATCTAACCATCTCCACAATTTTTTTTTTGCCTCTAACAGGATCAGTTAGTAAAAATCTAGACTTTCTTTCTTGCCTCCTGCATTTGATAACACTCTGTGCATGTTACCAGTGTCTGTTCTTTGTTCTGCTGAAGCATTCCAGCTGCTTCAGTTTCGTTAGAGTCTGATTTTTCCAGACATGGCTCTTTCTCTTCCTGAGAGATTGCATGACTTAAAGACTGGGGTGCTGCTCTGAAATGTCTGGTGGCTCCTAGCACTCTGCTAGGTGGGTTTACTAAGACACTGGTAAATAAAGGTCAGCTTAAGTAATGTCAACGACCAAAACAGGGTGAGGTATGCTACAGACATCTATCTCGTATAAAAAGAATTTCAGCTATAAAATCACTCACTCAAGTCTAGAGAAAATATAAAGGGTAGTTCAGATAATGAGACACAGAAAAAGCAACAAGAATTTGGGACTTTGGAGTGCTGATCCCTGCCCCGAGCATGGGGAGAATCTGACATTCCTATCACAAGTGGGAGCTCTTCAAATCATCTGGCAAATCTAAATTTTTCTCAGGTGAGGAGAGACAGCAAGACATGAAGGGGTTCCTGGTGCTTAAGTTGAGAAACACGGTGTTATCACCTGCTGTTGGCTCTGAAGACGTCAGGAAAGAAAGGCACCCAGCAGGGGGTCGAAGGCCCAAGCCCAGCACCCACCACCCAGCTCCTTCCAAGGAAACGTGCAAGGAGTGAGGACGGATTTGTTAAGGAGAGACCAGCTGCTCTCTGTCAGGATCTTTGTTTCCACAGAACAGTGGATTACAGCTCTTCTGGTAAGTATTCTGCTAACAAATATGATCTTATCAAAACTTTCTGTTAAGTAGCAGGAACTTGCTTCATTGCCACTTCAAAGTGCTTTCTAACTTCCATGCATAAGCAAGCAAGCGACATCATTTTGACGTGTCAAGCTCTTTTCAGTGCTACATGGGCACTGCCTCGGTGAGAAGGGTTTCTGTGATTCAAAGTACCTAATATTTACTGAGATCAGTGTGGGACGAAAGAAGATCAAGCTGTTTCTCTTAAAAATTAAACAAAAAAATTAAACTTGTGGTTGAGCAGAATGTTGCCTCTAAAACTGCAGATTACAAAACATCAGGCAAAAGCAAGAGGAAAAATACATTTACTGGAGCATTAGTACAAGGAGATGAGAAAATCCCCAGCCACCATTAGGAGACAGCTCAGTTGTCTGTATTTTTCTTGATTTATGGCAGATAAAAAAGCTCCCAGTGTGACACATTGGTTCTTTATATAGTGTGGCCATGTAAACTGCAGGCAAATAGCAGAGACAGGACAGCACAGGCACAGCACCGTCATCTGGGGCCTCTCATACTGGCACACCTTGAGGCATACCAGACCCACCCAAACCTGTGCTCAGGGCCCTGTTCTCATCTACATGCTGGAGAGAATCATCAGGAGATGGTCACGTCACTGAGAGAAGGGCTTGGGAGAGCACTCACAGTGACACTGCCTTCCCAGCACTTCTTGGGAGAGGAACATTTCTTTGCACCTGGGACAGACCCAGCACAAGGCTCCCTGCCCCTTCTCCTGGCTCAAGGACTGGCCCCAGCCCTGCTCACAGTCACAAAGCTCCTCATTCACACCCAGGAAGCTCCCAGAGATGGGAGTGATCCTGAATCAACAGCAAGATGAACAGTGGCCCCACAGACTCTTGATCAAAGGTAAAAATCAAAAGTAGAATACATCCATTGCTGTAAAGACAATACTAGGTAGCACTTGAGAAACAGTAGTTTGGTCACCACTGATAATATTTTTTTAATTTCATTTCATTTCACTTTTTTTTTTTTTTTTAATTCTCCATAAAAATAGATGCGTTATACCAGCTGGGAACTGTACTATCACGACCATGCTGCAGTAAGTTAACTGGGAAAACTTTGTCAAAGGGAAATGTAAAAAAGTTGCTGTTACAGAGAACGGTCCATTTTGTATTATAGCTTTTTTCTTTATAGCTGGCTAATTCCTCCCAAAGAGCTACAAAGGCATCATTCACAGATGACATACCGAGACAGCATCTGTCTCCCCATCCTCTCCACTCCTCCTTTTCAACTGCGATCAGGCTTGTTAAAGCTTCATTTGCTCTAGCAGGTGAATAATTACAATCTTCTGCACTGCTGAAATAGCCGGAGGATATCAGCTGCATGCTGCAGCTTAAAATTAACCATGACATTTCAGCTGCATGGTGTATTTTAAAATCATTTCCAAATGTTTTGTGTCTCAGTTGGGAAATTTTATTAAACTAATTTGTATTCATTTCTGGGTCCAAAATGGAGCAAATATAAAGGGAGAAAGATGGAGAGATGAGGGAAAGACGGGTCAGCAACAAATGACATCAATTTCTTCCTCCTCACATAACTTTTATTTGGATGTCTTTGCAACATACTAATCAACTCCTCTCACCTGGTGTACTTGCATCCTGATCTTCCTTGAGAATTTCTCTTTATGATATTGCTTAGGAACGAGCTGCGGCTGTCAAGCAGTGGCCTGCAGCACTGCACGTTGACCATGCTTGGTTTCTTGTATGTTCACCACATCTCTGCACTTCAGGTTGAAATTTTTTTCTTGGGTGTTTGTCTCAATCTTTTTTGAAGTATGGGAAATGTCAAGAAATGCCATGAGAGAAAAAAGGAGGCTGCTTCATAAGCTGGGCAATGGCACAGCTGTGAGAATCAAAGTGCTGGGCTAGAGCTGGGCCGAACCAGGAAGGGGAACAGGGAAATGAAGCCTGAGGGCTTCAGCTGAGGGCCTTACAAAGAGCTGGAGGTGGGGAGGGCTGAAAAAATCATCCAGAGAAAGTGAACAGCTAGGAAGCAATGGAAAAAAACAATGAAAGAGCCTGCAGCAATTCAAGCAGTCAGCAGGCTGTACAGGATAGTAATGCTGAGTATTCTCAAAGAGCTTTCCTGTCCCACTCTCCTTGGGAAGCCAAAGCCAAAGGGTGCTGCATCCCTGAGCATCCTGTGTCACAGTTTCTCAAGTGTGAAACAGAGTTAGCAAGCTCTTCATCTCACAAACTGAGGTAGTGTTAAACCACACACAACACTATGGAGATGAGTACAAGAGAGCCCATGGGGGAATCACTACTTCTGTATGCAGAGCAGGGGTTGGAGGACACACAGTATGCAAGAGACTGAGGGGGTCTGGTGACAGCTTCTTCCACCTCATCCAGAGGAGCCTGGTGGCTCCCACACATCTGCTTGGGCACCAGCCCCAGGCAGCACCCCAGAGGGTGACCCCAGTGGGCCCACGG